TAAAAGCTTAAGTAACAGGCAGACGACGTGAACGATGAAGCGGCACTTGCAAAGACTGCGAGGGTTAAATAGCCAGACTGGCAGGTAGTAAGGGGTGCGCCCTTACCCAAGAATGCATGACAGCGTTATTCAAGTTTGGTCTTCTTTTAGAACAGTGGTCTTAGCGTAACAGCAACGACGGCGACGGCAGTTAGCGGTACCATGAAACCAGCGGTAGCCAGTTAGCGGTACCAGAAACAATAGCAAAAAAGTACTGAGGGGATATTGGAACGCCGAAGGGGATCGTTTTCTGCATAGAGAGACTACACAGAAGTGAACGATGATGTAGTTAGCTAGCACTAACAACATTTAGAAATGTAATAGCTATTTATTAAGCGCGGGGAATAACTAAATTTCAATTTAAATTATTGATGACTCCAAAAATAAACGCATTTTTTAGACTTAAAATTGCGATCAAGCAAATGCGGTGGTCTAGCTGTTACCCTATTTATAGCATAGTTAGCGCATGTACCTGTGTACAGGCGGCACAGCGTGTACGAACGGGCGAATGAATACCATCAAGTGTTCAGTTAGCTCCCAACTCCTACCGTTTCTCTCGTTTTCTCAGATTAATTCATATATGGACTATCCTATTAGACTTGATACAGTGTCAAAACGGAGCTCTAACTGCACTGAAGCCGCACGACCTAGCGTATAACCTAGCCTTGCTGGTCTCAGCGACAGGCTTAGAGTACTATTACTACTACTACTACTGCTGGGCTGTGCTGTAGAAACTGAGGTTAGGCACATAGACAGTGGCGACCTCCCTCCCTGCTGCCCCAACTCGTGGGCAATGTCCCATAGGGTTTTCGAGCCCAGCGCTGGTTGTGCAGTGTACGTACGCGGCGAGCTCATAAATCATTCCCGATCATATGCGGTGGTCGAGACAAGGGGATGCTCTAAGCTGATCTTGTCTGAAGATGGCAAGCCACGCATAGCCTCGTTACCGACAAGACGCAAGCCACGACTACGTACAAACACGCACACATGCAGCTGGTCACTAGCACTAAGATAACCCGGGTCGATTCGAGCAAGAGCGAACCGAAACTGTTGATGGTGCTTGTATTGATGCTTCCGCCGATGCTGCCGTTACTCAGCAAGTGGACACTCGAAAACAGACTTGAACCATTACAATAGACGAACAGGAGCCGAGGAAGTGTCCGAACAACCCAATGCAGTCACAATAAATCGGACTTTGTTCGTTAGCGCTGTATAAGCGCAGCATCACTAGATATCGTCAGTATACGGACTAAAAGCTAGGCGCTGGGTCGAGATGAAGCACGCCACCTTTTTCTGTGGCAGGAGTGCAAAGTACTGCGTTCGCCAAGTGTTGAAGTTGGCGACGGCTTTGGGATTCAAGCCGGGTATATATATCCATGTATATGTAGCTGTGTAGTTTTAGCCTGCACTTGCTTTTCCTATCTCGTTTAATGATGCATACCTGTGTTGGACGAAATTGAGTCCTGCTATAGACGAAAATAGAGAGAGACTGACTGACTGACTGACTGACCAACCTATTTTCACTAAACGTCCTTTAAATTAAATGATAACCAACGAATAGTTTTAAGGTGGTGTTAACGTATATTAGGATGTTATAGTCACAGCCATCTAGCGACTTGACTCAATTTTTGCGTGGTATTGTTATTAGATAGCTAAACGGTCTGATTATTTAACTCTATTCAAGAATTAAAACGTATCAATGCACTTGGTATCTAACGACTACTCACGTTTCTAAGCTTTTTCAGATATGAGAACGCTTTACTGCTGGGGAATCACAGTCTATGTATTTAGCTCAATCTTCAAGATGCCAGAATGCTTATAAGAGATAAGCTTAATTATTACAAAATAGCAAATAACGCAGTGAAAAAATAGCAGAACTCACATCTACAGAAATATAGCTGCAACTCAATTTCGAGAAAAACAACAGCGTGTTACCATTATTGATGCTATATCAAGCTACACTCTAGTTTCAACGACTGGCTAAGTACTACTAGATCGGTTCGGGCATGGGCCTCATATGGACACAGGCCTGTTGAAGATGTGAGCCAGCGTAGGCTCGCCTGCAAAAACAAAGAGTCTTATGCGACAAAAGGACGAACGATTGGTGCATCGTCAGGACGACGAATCGATACATTGACAAACGAATCACATTAGACCAGCCAGAGGAAAACTCGATTCAACCTCTATCTCTACCGACTGACCGCTTAGTCCGTTGGGCGCAGGATAAACATCGAGGAAGAATCGGCCAAGGTGCCTAGAAGGCCTAAACTATGGAGACGTGACCACGGAACTTGCTAAGAATAAAGTATCGCTATCTTTATCGTTGAGCATGCAAACGATTCACTGCCGCTATCGGGAACTGTCGCTACCATAAAGACGAACCTATTATAGGTTTTGCAAACTTTTCATCATGCCATTTTTTTATGTCGAGCGTACTTCTTCAAGCAGGATGGTTGGTTGGCTGACCTTAGAAGGTGCTAACGACCTTGATGCTTAGAAAATGCGTCCATTATTAATGCCTGCCCAACCTCAGATAACGGTTGTCTAAAAAAATTGGCGATCTATCGGATATCTGCTTGGATTTGAAGATTTTAACCCGCGTCCAACCTGCAAATGAAGAGCTGTAGTATTATACGTGTTGAGCTTACAAATATCTCCAGCGTTCTGAGTCAATGACACAAAAGAAATACTCCTGTAGCGCGAAATACGTTGCGTCCCGATTTGAAACAGCAGACTTATAAAAACCCGTAAAATATAAAATGTGTTTATTTTTACGTACAGGGAAAATGGTTCAATAGTAACTAGTTCAATTGAAATTAGAATTTAGACATTTTGGAATTATAAGAAAAAAAAAAATTAACGGATGAAGTTGGTTTTGTGACACCGCAATGATAACGTACTTTCTTACGAACATCAGGGGCGTGTAACAACGTCTAGATGCGGAATCAGGTGTAGACATGTTTCGCTGATTGTCAGCAACGCTTAGCACCGGTTCCGTTTACTTGTAACAAATAAAAGTAGTTTCTTGAGCCAATCGAAAAGTACTAAAGAGATAAAGATTCAATGCCATTATGAGTACTACACTAAGAAACAGTCTATTTGTTTTTCTGTATACTCGGTATTTGTCGATGTTGATATCAAAATGAAAATTGAATACCTAGGTTGTATTCCGTTGTTGTCTTATTGCACTATGTGCAACATCATTATTATAGTCTTCATATATATTTTCGTAAAATTTAAAGTTTTCTTGAGCTCGAACTATCTGACTTCATCAGATGAGCTTTGTCGTCGAAGGTTCTCAGCACAACTGTCCTTCGTTCTAGACGTATTGTCCATTACTGATTCCGCAAGTGCGACACAATACAATGTTATCGTCACTGGTAGCACTACCAGAAGTTCTAAGGCAAGTCGACATAGTTACGAGACACAATTGTCCTATTCATTTTTCAATTGCGCAAAATGTGTCTCCGTTGTCTGGCTACGTAGAGATGTCCTTTGTTATGTGCTAAAATTCACTTTTGCCTGCGGAATGTATTTATGCGAGTTACACAGATATATTTGTTGCTCGCGAACTTTACCAACAAATATCTGCCATCATTCTTGTTCATTGTTACGACGTTCGTTGTGACCGTTATTGTTTAAAGGCTTTCATTTAGATAGCAATAGAATGGGGAACGACACCTATCTTTACTTCGGTCTAAATTCGTTGGCCACGATGTTCACAGTAGTTACCGAAGTTCTGACGGCGATAGCAACAAAGGCAACTAGGCTGTTGACTTAATTCTGAACTGGGTTTCACAAGTACGGGGCGCCGGCAAATCAGACGATGGGTGAATTGGCAGTCGGTGCGGCGTGGCCATTATTTATTAGCCGGGCTCGCTTGCCCCTTGGATTTTCCTTTCCCACAGGGCTGTCTAGTCTAAACTTCTGGGAACATAGTACTGCGTTTAACACTACGTAAATGGCTGCAATGTACGCTACGCCGGTAAAGTTTTCAGCTTCACGGAAAACTATGCCTACGGTCCGTCACAAACGGAAAAGAAAGTCTAGAGCTCCCCTTTTCGAGCAGAAACGTCCGCCACAGAAAGCTACTTCTCCCCCACGCACCTTTTAGTGGTAGGCAGTAGCAGTTGCGTCGGCTGTTTTCGAAAACGTTTTCCTCTGTGTGTTCCTTTACGATGAAAATTAAAACAAATCAAATATTTGACACATTTTACTTCGAAAACTTCGTCAGTCATTTTACTCTGAATATCTGCACAGATCTGGACATCTGCGAAGTTTGGTCCGGTTCATTGGTATTAAGCATTTAGCGTTATAAAATACAGGAAAAATGTTATATTTGCCTCAGTTGCACAGGCCAGGAGCTAGGTGATTCTCGCCTATTTCCCAACAAAAAACTGTGATTTGTCTACAGTTGTTATCGTATTCATCCAAATAATTGTTTCGGTTCATAGTGCAACTGATAAACAGTAAAATTACTTTTATTACCTTCCCTATGCAAAACGCAGACAAACCTTCTCATTAGCATCACGATGGTCTAAAAACGATCTATGTTATCAACAATGTGATCAATAGTATATTCCCTAAGCTAAGGTGTTCTTAGCTAAATGTTTCAACTTTAATGTCCCAACATTTTGGATCGGAAGAGACTGCATTAGGTTATATCGTAGGCTTATAGTAAAGCTATATTTCCGTGGTAAGCCGTGTGAGTATTTACGTAGAAGGTCCACTACGGAAAGTAATCGTAGCTCCTTCCCAGTGGCCATGTCCATTGGGAGTAGTCCAACCTACGACGAATTCGCTGCGACTGAAGGTAGTCCAATGCCTAGTAATTGTCGATAGCTTAGGGATGTCCACTCTCCCAAGCGCAAAATACCGTACCATATCAGTAGGCAGCTTTGAAGAAAAATAGCAGATATGAAAAATACGCCGAACTAAAGTTATCCGCGTGAAAGACTAACCTGGACTGATGCGATGCTGCGGATGTTGATGAGACGTTTGGTGTCGATTAAGACTGTTATTGCCTGAGGTAGCAGTGTGGCCATTACTAGAGTGGTTCTTCACGTGGCCTGAATGTCCAAGGGTGTGATGCGATCTAATTAAAGGTAAGAGGACAACACAGGACATTAGGCCCGTACAACACTAGACCTACGTGATAAATATTTTTACAAATTTGTCCCCTTTTCGATGGACTAACGTAAGCTGAATAAATTTATTATTATTTCCTAACAAAAAAATGATGTTCATCTCTAACCGCGTAAAGAACATACTCGTACTAGTTTATTAGAAGGCTTGTAAATGATCGCAGCCACAAACCTTGGATTGCTGTTATCCTGCAATAGGACGGGGTGTGCGGAATACCTTCGAGGCACGGACGAGGTCGAACCAGGCCGATCAAGAAACGAGACTCGGGCCAGCCCAGTCGTCAACGTCGGCAACCTACAACAAAGCCGATGAGCACACATTAAACCGATTGTATAACTGCTAAACCTATATGCAGTACGCCATAATCCCACTGTTTCAATACAGCCTAATGCCTCAAATATATGCTGACCAGGTGCTATAGTTAAAGCTATTGTTTGTTTTATCCTCGAGTTCAGTTACGTGTTTTAACGTTGAGATGTAATGTATCAATGGGCGCCTATGAAATTGGTCCACAAAAACACTTTCAATATAGGGTAAATATCGAAATGCTAGAAAACCGCACTGCTAATGAGCTCGCCTGAGAGAAGGCATTATGTTACTATGAGCGTATTATAATATTGTGTCATAATACACATATCAGCTCGCACATAATGAGCGGTAAAAAAAAATAGACACACAAGCACATTTTTAATAATATATTATATAAGCAAGTTTCTGTTTTACAGCGATTGATACGCTTTAGTTTCGTTAGGTAAACGTATCGGTAAGTCATAATAGATAAGTGCAAGGGTAACGTATTCGAGGGCGTAACATCTAGCTAACTAATTTTGTTTAATGTGTGTTGTTTTTCGTTAGTGGTTCGGGACTATGCTCAATTTTTCTTCCATTGGGCTTCTCGGATTGAAACTGCCAGTGCGGCAGGCAGCCAACGGCATCCACCTTCGAACACTTGACGCCTGTCACGCCTTCTTCAAAACACGCTTCACTTCATGTCAAATGCCCCTTATCTAATCGGTTTGATGCGTTTGACAAAATTAGAACCATATTTGGAAGATAATGTTATTATGATAATGAACTACACACACACAACTATATATATATATATATCAATTCCGTTTAAAGTGGTACCCAAAAATGTGAATGCCAAAAATCGGCCTTTTCTATGTCGTTTTTATGAACGAAGTTTTTTCAGTCATATTGCTTCCATGAAAAGCAACCCTTCTTTGCGGTGTGGATTTCTATAGAAGACAATATACACGATCGATTTTCTGTATAAAAAGGTATAACTGCATTTTAAAAAAATCGCTGCTGGTACTCATCAGTAAATTAGTATAAAATCTCCTAGGTATTTTTGATCTCCTTAGCTACACTAAACGCTATCAGTCAAATTTATGTTCTAAGTATTAACCAACATATATTATGTAAACAGTGTTCAGTTAACGAATGCATCATCTCAAGTTTTTTCTATATAAAATATCACGACGGCACTGGCAATTCTTACTGCAAAGGTATAGGCCGGCATAATTCGCAGGCCTTGGCTATTTGTCTACCGCAGCGCCCCCTGGTCGGACCGCGTAAAACAAAATTTCCTCGACGAAAAAGTGGATTCCAACTAAGAAAACCAGGTGGCGCCACGCGGTGAATCTAAGCGAAGTTAACCGAAAAAAATCATTCTAACGATTTCACGTAAAGTTTTATTGATGTTACACAAACAGCACTTGCACTTTGCCCTAAATCGTTTGCCTTCATTTTCCTGAGCCATCCATGCGCCAAATGGTTAAAAAAACATAAAGATGTTACGTGATATTCATCATTAGGTTTATGTGTAGTGAGTTAGATCTCTACACGCTTAATGCGAGGCGTCCAAATAAATCACAGAAGTTTCTATTCGAATTGTAGCGCTGTTGAGTGATTGCTCACTGACTCTCGCTTTAGTTTCATATATTGCCTATGCACCGATAAAAAGGACTTCTATCGAATTTAGCTATGGTCCATTTTCTAAACACTGCCGAAGTTCAGGACTAAAGTTAAATACAGAAAAATGATGCAAGCGAGTGGGCGGGCGTTCGGTCTGCCTTGAAGATGCTTCATGACATGTTTGTTGGCATATGTTATAAAGCAGGAAAGTCCCGGGGTCTGTGAATTATGCCGGCACTATTATGCCGGCATTATTATACCCTTGCACTAAGATTTGCGAGTGCTATTGCGAGGTTGTTTAAATGTAACTTATCGAATCACATTTGGTTCGCAGTACACTCAGTCTCGATTCGTTAGTATTTGGCATCCTTTCTGTTGATGTGGCAGTTGTAAAAAATAGATAAATACTATATGCACGTAAACGATTGCAATACAGTTTAGTGGAAAAAGTTCAATCAACTAGTTTTACTTCGAATGGAAAAACTCACATCGTATCTACTGAAGCGTATGGGCGTTCTCTTTCGAAATGCACGAAGACATTCACTTCAAATCATTTACCTGAAGACTGCCCAGCCCTATCATCAACGGTACTATGAATACGTTGTTATATAGACAAACCTAAAAGTTTTAATGTACTGCCTATTTCGAACAGATTACACAGTATGCATGATAAGGAGCGCACTAATGTAAACATTATCACAATTAATAAGTGTTGATTAATAAGTGGTGATAAATCTGTCCTATGTTTATCCAGCAAATGTAAACGACAGAGAAATATTGACCTGGACTGAATCTCCGTCGGCGGAGATAGCAGATCAGCAGCGACCATTTTTTCATTGGAAGTTGTCAAACTCGAGGACGAAGAACTTATAGACGGAACTGTTCCTGGTGATAAAGCGTTTGGAGCTATGGTAAAGCCTGCCGAAATCTTGAGTGCCTGTTTGTGGGTCTGCTTGAAACGGCTCAGACCGAAGAACAAGCTCAGGATTGGCTTTGTGTGGCCTTCGTGGATATCTGCAACATTTTTGGTCAAGCGAGAATGTAATAAATAACATTTGTCGCGAAAAAAACAATGTGTACAACGCGATTTGTACTGATGATCTTACTTTACGAAAAGAAAAACGTCAAAAGACTTCCGTATATATTTCCACAACAGCCCATTTGGTAGATTTCAATTATAAATGATAACAAATTTATCTATGAAATTGCTAGAACAACAAATTTTTTTTAAGAACAACTTACCGTGAGGCGAAATGCCGTCAACATCAACTCCAAGTTGTTGGAGGAGATCGAGACACGCTCTAATATTGTCCAACTGAAAATACACAAATAGAAATCATACTCTATTAGTTTGTCTATAAGCTGAATCAACGTTTTCGTAGGATGCGCTATTTAGCTATTTTTTCCTGCCAAGTGAAATGGTTAAAAATAATTTTTTGTTGAAACAGAAACGTCCCGTTCTCTCCATGTCTATACATATCAGCTTTGGCTCATTTTCCTAACTTAATTATGCTATGAAAAGAAGTACTTTTAAACCTTCTGTATCTGATCCATGCATCAAATGAATATACAAGGAATTCATTAAGTATCAGGCGCACCTGCTGCACAGTCCTCTTAGCCGACAGTGCGTTATCAAATCAATAGTATACTAACATTCCCTGTTAAAATTAAGCAATATGTCTCCCGTTATGCTTCCATCGTACCTTAAATCGAGGTTGAACTCTGCGCAGGAAAATCGCTTTAAGTTCTCTTTATTCAACTTCAAATTCGACAAGATTAACATAGTTTATTAGAATTATCTCTCTTTATATTCTTTCTTCTCTTTATCTTCTCTTAATATTCCCAACAGCCTCTGCAAAATGTCGGTTACGACAACTGGCGACATCATATAGAAACGCTCCATATGATATCTTTGACTACTCACAGATTTTGTTTAAGCGAGATAGTCAAATGCAAAACTGTATACCCGCGCTGCTCCGTTCAGTAGCAGCCGCACAGAAAAGTCATCAGCGAGCGTTCTGTCCTGTTCACTGATCAGAAGTTAGGAACTTGTTTGCACGTTAGTAGAGTTATCACCTCCGGACACCAACGTACTGGTAATGGTAAGAAATATTATCGCCATCAACACAACCATTGACGATCACGCAGAAACACGCGTACACCAATACACAAACGCACTAAAAACCAATAAAATACGTCCGTAAATGAAAAAAAAAAAACCCCTAACTGATAATCTAGACCTTCTATCGGCTTTACACGATCTGAATGCTTCGACTGCGGAGCAAGAAGTGTTAAACTAGATCCTATACGCGGTTCTATTTTGACTCCTTTGTTTGAAAATTGTGACGATCATATGTATGCGCATTAGCCATGTCTTGTGTACGGTGGATGAGCTCAGTCAGTTGAAACTATGAGTATACCTTCTAGCATAACTACAACTACTAAATATTATCCACAGGAGAACAGATCTATGCTGATTCCTGTTTCATGTAATGGCTTATCATGGAACCACTGCTACCTCCTAGTCGTATCTAGCAAAATGTCGTCGATACTCAGAGCGGAGATTAGTACGAGCCTAGGTTTAACCCGAGTGCCCAAAATCTGTTAGTTCTAATCACACTTCGTCAACAGTGGGGGCGAATGGATAGGGATAGAACAACCCATTCTGGACAGTCGGTGATGTTCTAGAAACGCACAACTGTCTATCTACGTCGACCCTTTCATGTGGCGGTCCACTTCTGGGTGTCACATGTTCGCACCCATCATTACAACCATACTTCCACCATCTGTATTGGAAGATTAAGCAGGAAAGAAAGTGAAACAAGGGTTTACTGCGGCCCGAAACCGAGCTGAACTGGATCTTTGACCATAAGCGAAAAAGAAGCCTCCCGTTTCATCTTCATAGATTTATTTGTGTAGAGGATTCTTAGTTTATCACATCCACACACCTGAACATATAAAGGCCCGGAAGTGCGGAGAGCCAATAATGAGTCAACGACAGCAATTGCACCTGGTTGACTAAAGCTAAAAGTCTGTAGGTAAGCTTGGCTCACCGAACGATCGCGTCTGGCTTGAAAACTGACGCTGGGAAGCAAAAACCTAAAGTACGTATTAGTACACAGCATTTACGTTGATGATATTACGTTTAAACTGGGTTCTGATGTTGCATGCGACGGTCGCACGCCTAACGTTTTTCGTTTTAGCAAGCAAAGAGCCAGTCTAGACATAACCCTAGCAAGCTAATTGTACGCGCAAAAGGTAGATGCCATATTAATTTAAAAAAAAACAGGTCTGTGTCTACATGCAGGAAACTGCATGCTGCCTTACGATGCGGCAATTTTAAAACCAACAAAAAGAACCCACAGATTTGAGAAAACAGATAGGAAAACATTTTATTTATTCGATCTCTGTATCGGGTACGATACGAACGAAGTCACTTGATAATTTGCTTAGAAAAGCATTTATAGAAAAAGAAAGAAAAAAGATAATAGCAAGAGTGCGATGCTACGTGCATGACAGTTACGAGACAGCGTTCGAAGCATACCAATCACTTGGAGTAACACCGTATGTCGTGTACCATACGGCGGTTCCAATGTTATCAAAAGACAGTTCCTCAGCAGGACCACCCATCCAGTTCGATGGCTTAGAAAAGCGAATCTCGTTTAATACGCCAACTCCTAAAGATTAAACGAGATCTACAGATTATTTTTGATGATACATTTACGTCAATATTGACTTACGGAATATATATATATATATATATATATATATATATATAGAAAAACCACGCTATTCATTATTTACGTTCAGGATCCTGTGTCTGGATTACCACTTTGCTTTGTTCTGAGTGCTTCGCCTCAAATAGTGGCGTATCCGTTGAATACCCACTATCTGAGAATGGCAGTACACACCATGCCCTCAGTGAAATGAACTCGACTGGTTTCTGGATACACAATGGTTATATATCATTAAACGTGATGAAAATATCTTCTCTTTTAGCCATGTCGTAAATAGCAAGGGGTAGAAACTGATTGCACGTAAAGTTTGAGCGTTCTATAAAACAAAAAAGTGAATATTTTAGTTTGGCTAATAAATAATTTACGAATATATTGATTCGGCCTTTCGGTCACAACTACGAATGCGGTGATATTATATTCTCTTTTTTTAACTAAGCTTATTTTTCTTACCACTTCACTAGGGCTTGATGATCAATGAAATATCACTAGTCGTGCATGTCAAGCTCAAGGGGTCAAAGCGATCGGTGAAATTCGCCGATTTACTCTATTAGCAGAGAGAGAGAGGGGGGAGAGAGAGAGAGAGAGAGAGAGAGAGAGCTTGTTAGACTACGAAGCTAAAGTAAAAAGGGATAAAGGTGTCTTCTGCAACAAAGCCTGCGACCTCGACACTCGTATTATGTGACGTGCTTACACCTCAAGTGTGAAAGTCAACGAGCTGCTTTTAAGCGTCTCGCCTCCCCAATGGGGGCCAAAGTCTCGCGGCCTGTCGACCGGTCAGAACCAGCGACCGGGGCTTTTTAGGGACACAACTTTGCTTCTTACGCCCCAGGAAGAGGCGCTTTTGGCAAAGGCACGAGTGGCATGCATTATTCAAGCAGGGACCATCAGGGCCAAATGACGACAAAAGGCCTATACGTTATTTGACGGTGGCCCTATCAGTACCACTAATCACATCAGTGCCGCGTTAGCGTTGAGAGTATAACGTGTGATATGTGAGAGCCACATTCGGGCTTAGTTGAGTTTGCCAGTTCTACTTACCGCTAAGTATAGACTAGTAGACGTCAATCAATAAATAGGATCACTTTTAAAGAAGCGCACAGCTTTTGCATAATGTCTAAACTGTTGTAGAAACCCTCTAGACGTTCTGAAGCTGCAAAACACACGATAGTCTGCTTCAATCACGTACCGAATCGACTGCTCCAGGTATTCTCCGCGCTATCCAACATTCCCGGCAGCAGATAAAAACATTACTTAACATCCATAGTTGTTGTACAGCCATGCCTAATGGTTCTTTAGGAAATAGATTAGTATAGCACTAATCAAGAGCGTGCTTATAGGCACATGAGAAAACGTAAGGCTGATACAAATTCATGATAGGCGCAGATTGACGATTTAAAATTCATGATAGTACCAATTAAAATATTCTGTCATCCGTAAATAGAAGCATTCTTGTATCACATCTAGTTTGTAAAGATAATCAATGGCCTGTTTTCTTGCAACACTCAGTTTACCATATCAGTACTGAATAATAGAGAAGCTAAGGTATTATATCCATCGGACTAATAATATTCAGAATACGGAGCAGCTCTTTGAGACAGTACCCGAGGGAATACAAATGAACCTTCTACTTGTTTTTACTACTAGAGTTCAGCTAAGAGCTTAGTAGCACCTTTTCTATGCTCTGTCTAACGTTAAGCCCTCGGTACGTGTCAGTCGTTTAGCCTCTGGTTTTACTAGAAGCTTTGAAAGCGCCTACCAATGTCTTCTCTTTGCAAATGACTTATTGCTATACAACAGCTAATGGTATATGTACAAATGTTAATCTTACAAGACATGCAGACTGCTTGCCTAACCACAAATCCCGATATATATGTTTTGATGAGAAAAACTCGTATCAGTGGCTAATAAAAAAAAAAAATTTAAATATCATAAATTAAATAACGTACTTCCGATCACAACCTAGTCGCCTATCGATAAGGTTCGATCAAATATTTGTAATACTATCGGCTTCTGCTTTCATCAGGGTATTCTGTTCCACTTTTTCCTAGGTCTCCAATGAGCTCCACATATACAAAATCTAGAGGTAAAAACGCCTTGTGCGATTGTTTTTATGTTTCCTTTTTTCTATACTTTACCCCTATCTCTGATTGTTTTTAGTCCGAATTAGACGGGGCTTGTTGAAAATGGCATTCAACCGCACTTTTCCAAGAAGTGAACTACTCTAGGGCGACGTGTCAGGCGGTACCGGGCAAAAAGATTGGTTTTACCAGTGGCAGAGGACACGGGGTTAACTTGGAGTGTGTATTTGAATATCCGAGCTCTTGATCTTAGACTTACGGGTGGGGAGACTCGATCAGATCTCTTAATTGCCCTTAGGTCTGCGATTTCTTGGTTTAGAAGTTAGCCGGTTTTCCTATTGAAGTGAAAGACTGCCCAAGATTGTACCTGGACGCGAAAGACAGAACGCAGGGAAACGCGTTTTTATAGAGATTTATTTAGACGCCACTTGCACCGTGAAGCTGCGCTAATTCCTAGAACCGATTAATTGGACGGAGCTATTTTCAGCCCCCGTAAAGTT